CCTTTGTCTCTTTTGCTGAACCTCTGTCTTTCTCCACATGATATCTTTTCCCAAGTTCTGGCCCTTCCTGACAACATGACCAAAGTACATGAGATACAGCTTCATCAGCTTTGCCTCTAAGCAGTACCCTGGTTACACTTTCTCCAAGAGAAATTTGCTTGTTCTTTTAGCAGTCCACTTAATATTCAGTCCTCTTCTCCAACATCACAGTTCAAAGGTATCTCTTCTTCTGTGATCTTTCTTATTCATTGCCCAACTGTAAGGTGCACAGGAAGCAATTGAAAATACCATGGCTTGAGTCAGGTAAACCTGAGTCTTTAAACTGTCATCATTGCATAACAGAACCAGGGAAGGCTGCATGGCTTAAAATCAGGAAAAGTGTGTGTCAGAGTTGTATCCTTTATCTATAACTATTCAGTCTGTACACTGAGCAAATCATTTGAGCACCTGCACTATATGAAGAAGAATGTGGCATCACAGTTGGGAGAAGATTCATTAACAACTTGCATTATGCAAATGACACCACCTTACCTACTGAAAGCAAAGAGGCCTTGAAGCATTTGCTACAAATGATCACAGGCCATAGCCTTTAATATAGGCTATATCTCAACATTACAAAAGCAAAACCCTCACTACTAAACCAATGCATAACATCATGATAGATGGAGAAAAGATTGAAGTTGTCAATGGCTTCGTTTTACTTTGGAAACACAATTAACACCTGTGGTAGTAGCAGTCAAGAAATCTTAAGTATCTCTTTAAAATGCTGAAGAGCAATAATGTCAGTAAGGCAATAAATAAACCAACAAGAGAATCTAAGATTGATTAAACATTATGAAAGCAAGAAGTAAGATTATGGTGAACAGACTCCAACAGGGTCCTGCTTCCTGACCTTCATGTTCATGTCCTTCTAGGACCCCTTCTCCCTTTATTCAAGGTTGGACTCACTATACAAGAGAAAGCACAGAAACGATGGTGTGGACTTACAATATTGGATTGTAGATGACACTGCAGCATCTGCTGTTCTCACTGTCTATGCTGTCTTTCTTTATCGAAGAAGCCAACTACCACAACATGAGGACACTTGAAGGCCTGTGAAGATCTTCAGAGAGCAAACAGACAGTAAGGAACTGAGCTTTGCTGCCAATAGTCACTGAATGACCTTGAAAGAGGACCCTCCAACTCCTTCAGATGACTGCAGCCCAGACAAAAGGAATCTCATGAGAAATTCTGAACTAGAACCACCAGCACCCATGTGGCTATAGAAAATGAGAAGAAATAAATGTTTGCTGAATTGGGAGTCACTGTTTTGGTTGCGGATCTGATAAGTTGTTACACAGAAGTAGATGACTATTACAAGGATGATGAAATAAAGAAAGTAGTAGTTAAAGGTCTCACCAAAAAGAAATAAATAATTATTTCTAAATATTATTTCTAAATAAATAAATAATTATTCTGGTACAAGAATCATCAATCAAGCTTGTCCCAAGAATATGAAATTTTATTAGTTTGTATCTGTGCTGGACAATGACTAAAGTTGATAGAAGAAAAATTGATGCCTTCAGACTGTGGTGGTAGAGAAGAGAATAAAACATACCATAGACTCCTAAGAGATCAAACAGGTCTGTCCTGGAGAGGGTGAAACCAGTCTGCTCTTAGGATGCAAGACTTTTGAAGCTCCATCCCACATAATTTGGGCATATTGCCAGGAGGGACCAGTCCTTGGAAAAAGGCATTGTGCTTGGGAGGGTGGAGGAATAGCCCAAGAGAGGAAGATCCTAGATGAGATCTGGATGATTGACTCAATGATAGGGGTTATGGGGATAGGTGTGTCAGAGACGATGAAATAGGCTTGAGATAGAGCAGGATTCAGAGCTGTTACACATATGGTTTCTATGAGTTGTAGTTGACTTTGTTTTGTGATGAAGTATGTGTTTTATTACATAAATAAAAGCCCTATATATCAGAGGCCTATATAAGCTCCTAGAAGCCCAATGCCAGCTCTCTTTTGGGACACTTGCATCCACACAGCATCCAGCTGTGACACAACGAGCTGACAGTCTGCATGATTCTGGCCCATTGCTCACCAGTCTCTGTAACACCAGCCTACACACTAGTTGGGTGAGTCATTTTCCAAACAGATTTGAGTTTCTGTGAGACCTTCTAGTGAACCATTGATCTCAAGTGACACAGAAAGGTTGATAAACTGAACAGAGGAGGAACAGTTGATGTCAGAAATGATGGAGTGGTCCAGCAGATCAACCATTTGGAACATTGTTGACTTCTGCCTTTTAGTAACTAGTTTGCTACTAATCTTAGTAGAATGGATGGTAAATGTTGTATCAGTAGTCATATGATTCACATGTACTGGTGCCATCTCCCTAGAAGGTAGTAGTTTTGCCTTATTTTGTGTCTAGTTGTTGCTGTTGTTATGTGCCATTGAGTCAAGTACAAACCCTGTCCTATCCTGTATCATCCTCACCATCTCCAACTCACTTGAGCTCATTACTGCAGTCTTTGTCCAATTCATCTCATGAAGAATCTTCTTCTGCTTCACCCTTCAACTTTCCAAGCATGAGGACCCACTCCAAGTAATATCTCCCTCATACAACATGCCAACTGTATGAGAGATGAAGCCTCACCATCCTTGCCTCTAAAGAGTACTCTGGCTACACTCTAGAACTATTCCCCAATGAAAAAAGTCTCATAGAGGTAACCAGAGAGCTAAAGATAGACAGACAGACAGACAGACAGATAGATTAATAACATATGAATATACACACAGAAGAGCAAGTTCACCACACATATTGAAACTTGGCGAACATTTTGCATTTCTCTGCATCTTGCTGCAGATATTATTCAATACCATTACTCTATGTTTTAATTCTAATGCTGAAGTGTTGTACTCAAAATGAAAGTTTCTAATTTTAGGAATCTTCTTGTTGTTGTTATGTGCATTGGATCACTTGAGACTCATAGTGACCCTATCAACAACAGTCCTATTCCCTACTCTATCCTGTGCCAATCTTATTGTCTCTGACATATCTACCCCTCATTACCCCAGTCATAGAATCAATCCATCTCATTAAGGATATTCCTCCCTCTACGCTCCCAAGCATGACAGCCCTCTTCAAGGACTGGTAGTATCTTGTAACATATCCAAAGAATGTCAGATGGAGCTTCAGAATCCTTGCCTTCAAGAACTATCCTGGTTTTACCCTCTCTATGATGAACCTGTTTGTTCTCATAGCAGTCCTTGGTATATTCAATGTTCTTCTCCAGCAACCACAGCTCAAAGGCATCATTTCTCCTTCTGTCACCCCTAGTCATTGCCCAGCTTTCTTATGCATAGCAAGTGATTGCAAAGACCATGGCCTGGATCAGGGGCACCTTGGTCTCCAAACTGACATTATTGCTCTTTGGTACTTTGGGGAGGTCTCTGACAGTAGCCTTTCCCGGTGAAATTCATCTTTTCATTTCCTAAGCATGTTGACTGTGGAGCCAAGCAAACTGAAGCTGTTAATAATTACAATCTCTTCATCATCTATCATGTTGCTTCCAATTGGCCCAGCAGTGAGAACCTTTGTTTTCTTGTTATTGAGCTTCAATCTATATTAAAGGCTGCAGTCCTTGACTTTCTGCAGTGAGCACTTCAGATCCTCCTCAATTTCAGCAAGCAGAGTTATGTTATCTGCATAATGCAGATTGTTAATGGGTCTTCTTCCAAATCTGATGCTATATTTCTCCTCAGAGAGCCCAGCCTTCCAGATAATCTGTTCTACATAAAGATTGAAAAGGTATGGAGATAGATCACATCCCTGGCATACAACCTTCCCAATTTTGAACCATGAGGTGTTTTCTTGCTCTGTTCTGATGACTTCCTCCTTGTCCAAGTATGGGTTTTGCATAAGCACTATCAAGTGTTCTGTGGTTCCCATTCTTCTCAGTGTCACCCACAGTTTGTGATCCACACAGTCAAATGCTTTTGCATAGTTGATAAAACACAGATAGACATTCCTCTGGTACTCTCTGCTTTCAGCCAACATCCATCTAACATTAGCTACAATATCCCTAGTACCACGGCCTCTTCTAAGCCCAGCCTGCACATCTGACAGTTCAATGTTGATGTGCTGTTACAGTACTTGTTAGATAATTTTCAGCAGAAGCTTGCTTGCATGGGATTTTAATGATATTGTTTGATAATTTCCACATTCTATCAGATAACCTTTCCTTGGAATGGAAACAAAGATCTCTTCCAGTCAGTTAGCCAGGTGGCTGTCCTTCAGATTTCTTGCCACAGTTGGTAAGCACATCTAGGACAGCATCTGTTTGTTGAAATATATCAATGGCATACCATCAATTCCTGGGGCCTTGTTTTTGCCAATTCTTTAAGAGCACCTTGAACTTCTTCATCACCACAGGCTCTTGCTCATTCATTGTTTCATGAAATTCTTCTGTGTCCACCAATTCCTTTTGGTACAGTGACTGTATACTTTTTCCAATCTTCTTTTAATGATTCCTTGATACATGGACATGAATCTTGTTGGCTTTCTGGAAATATCTGTCACTGTTATTGTGTAATTTCTTATATAGCATTTATTTATTATTACTTAAGAAGTGAAATCTAAAAATGAGCAAATTTGTAGCAAGTATAAACAATCTAACGAGTTTATCTAAGTTTGATATTTTCTATAAATTAACTAGTGAGAAGTATTTAGCTAAAACACAGTAATGTAATTTAGAGAATTGTTTACTATTATCAGAAGGAACACTGATGATGCAGTGGTGAAAATGATCACCTGCTAAATGTAAGGCCAATAATTCAAACCCACCAACTGCTCTGTGGGAAAAAGACAAGACAACAGACTTCTGTAAAGAGTATAGAACTGGAAATGTTATAGGGAAGTTCTACTTCCCATAGAAATGAGCTGGAATCAACTTGGGTTCGGCTTGAGGTTTCAAGTGTTAACAAAAAAATGACACAGTAAAATATTTCTTCCCCAAAAATTTATTGAAGCAGAAACAAGTTGGTCAGATACTTGCTGGAAAAAAGCAGTTTTAATGATATTCAAAAATACTTTTTAAAAAAGTATTCTAGCACAAGACTAGGTTATGTTGTAAACTTTTATTTTCTTCCTAACTCTTTTAGGAGTGTTGGATCTTAAGAACTAGAGCTTATTCCTATTCCAAATCTATCTTGCGCTTCTGAAAAACTGCAAAAGGCACTTGAAAGCTGTTTCTTTAAGACACGGACTTCAATTTTATTCTTGCTGATAATATATTGCTACACCGAGCATGCGTAGTTTTCACTCAAGGTCATCATGGTGCTGGGAAGTTTCGTTGATAACCTGTTGAAAAACAAAACTCCAGTCAACTATACTATTATAACCTAAAGTCTAAGTTCTCCTATAAAGTCTTGCAAAGAAAAATACTACTAAATTTGTCAATTTTAAAAAAATTTTTTTTCCACTGTGACTGTTGGAAGGCTGTATTGGTTCTGCATGGCAAAGGTTACATCTAGGAAAGAGACATACAAATACTGCTGTTCACCTATAGACAAATATCCATTTTATGAGATATTATGACTCTTTAAAACAAAAGACCTAACTAAAAAAACCCAATCAAAGTACCACAAGCCCAAAATTCTGCTTTTATCTAAAAATCAGATGTAACAAAGCACCCAATCAAACAAGAACAAACCCAAAATTCTGTTTTTATCTAAAAATCAGATGAAACAAAGCTTAAAAGCAATTAAGACATTAAAATGTACAGCAAAATGAGCTAAATTTATGTACAAGATTAAAATAAAACTTGACAGTTTATTTATTGATGTAGAAGAGGAACAAGAAATTAAATGACCAGAGTGAGTTTTCATACCACAGAGCAGGTGTAGGAATGTTTAGATGAATGCCAGAAGGGGAAGACCATGTGTACAGGATCAAAACATTCTTGACCCTAAAGTAATCTAATGAAGATGGTCTGGGAAATAGCCTGAGGAAGTTTTACTCCTAATTTAAATCAAGCACTGTAGCAAGAGCATCCATTCTGAATTTCAGGAAGCTTGCCATCTGTTTCATCTCTGAGAGCCAAATAACTAGTTGGCTACATTTTGTGTTGGAATAAGAACTGCATTATTATCACTGATTTTAAGAAGGCATAAATTAAACTAGCTAGCTGTACTAGATTACAGATTTAATGGATATTAATTCTTGCCTGAGATTACTCCATGTTTTTAAAATTTAAAAGATACCAACCTGCCCATCTCTAGTTTCAACTGTCTTAATCAGGAGTGTTCTTTTTGAGTGGGTGTCAACCAGAGGGAGAGACTCCAGGTTGGTTTCTAAACAAAAAAATAGGGTGAAAATTGAATGAAATAGAATAAATAAGTAAACAAGTGACTCATTTATTTAAAAATCATGATCTTTTGCAATTTTGTAAAGTGCTATCTTAAAGTAGTCAAAAATAATTCAGAAACTACTTATAAAGAATCCTGAAGACTAATGCTTATTTGAAAGTGAAGAGTCTGTCATCACAGTAGCAACAGGATGAGGCATAGTACTTCAAGTGGACGTCTCATCCAATTGCTACTGTGGAATGAAGGAAGAATTCTTCAACAAGGAAGAATGAAATAGAGCTTAAATATAACTTAAAACACAGAATGCAAAACATCATCTGGGTATGAAAATTAGATATTTAAAAAGTATATAGAATTTTAATAGAATTTTTTCTTGTATTTCTCAGATATACAAAATCACTACTTTCTCATAAATAAAATGCTTATAAGTTGCTGAAATTTTTCACAAGGAAAAATAAGTGCTTACCCCTCAGGTTCAGGGAAGAAAAGGTTGGAATAGGCAGAGAAATTCTGTAAAAGTTAAAGAAAAACAGTAAATAGTTTGGAAAATAACTTGAGCAAGGAAGACATCTAAGTATCCTTTGTTTAAATTAAATAAGAATATTTACACACTAATTCTTAAGTTTTGCATTATCCATGATTTGTAACATACAATAAAGGATTTTTCCTCCCTCTAGGGATAAGCAATGCTAAAGGATGGGCTTTGTCAGGAAGATGTGGATTCATATGTCAGAGCTCTGCTAATAAATAGCTCAGACTTGGGCAAGATGAGGAGCTCTGGTGGCTTAGTGAGTTGTGCTGTTAACCCAGAGGCTTTGCTTCTCAGAGGTCATTAGTTTCAAATCCACTAGCAGCTGTGGTTCTGAGGGAGCAAGATGGATAGTTTCCTCTCATGATTTACAAGCTTTAAAATCCTAGAGTTACTAGGAGTCAGAACAAACTCAATGGTGCCAATGAGGTTTTTTGTTTATTGATTTGGTTTTTTGAGGATAAGTTACCTGCACTACATAATCATCTATAAGAATGAAAAGTTTCTCATTAGGCACTGGAAAGTAGGTTCTGACTCTTGGTGACCCTCATAATGCTGCTTAGTCTTCTGGCATTCTGAATATTATTGCTCTCCTTGCCTGAGCCTATTGTAGTGAAGAATCTACCTGGAATAAGTATTCTAAAATAAGACAATGAATGTAAAGTGAGGAACATAATATTTAGCAGAGACATCAGGAATTGATTTACTTATAACCAACACCAGTTGTTATCAATTCAATTCAATTCTCATTCAAAACTCATGGCTACCACATGTATCTGAGTAGACCTGTGCTATACTGAGTTTTCAGTGGCTGATTTTTCAGAAGTAGATTCCCAAGTTTTTCCTCTGAGACACCTCTGGGTAAATTTGAACCTCCAATTTCTCATTAACTGCACCAGCCACGACTATAAGTTGAAATGATACTCCACCTGCTCTCCTCGCCCTCCAGCAGCTTCCTGTAGGTGGCAATCTCAATGTCAAGAGCCATCTTAACATTCAGCAGGTCTTGATATTCACGAAGGTGACGAGCCATTTCTTCCTTCATGTTCTGAATCTCATCCTGCAGACGGCCAATAGTGTCTTGGTAGTTAGCAGCTTCGACAGCAAAGTTCTCTTCCATTTCACGCATCTGGCGCTCTAGAGATTCATTCTGCAGGAGACAAAGACTTCCAATATTATTTCTTCAGGGGAAACAAGCTATTCTCAGAATTTTGATAGTCTGCACAATCTTCACCAGTACTCTAACTCTGGGTAAGGCACATAAGTACCAACTTCCTTGCTGTTGTTTTTGTTAGGTATCATCGAGTTGACTGCAGTTCATAGAGACCCTAGGAACAAACAGATCTGAATCATGCCTTATCCTGCACCATCATCATGATCGCTGACATGCTCAAGGTCACTATTGTAGTCACTGTATCAATCTTTCTCACAGAGGGTCTTGTTCTCAGTTGTGGACGCTTTATCTTTCCCACGATATTAAAGACTTAAAAATCACCTGATGCTAGGTATGGTATTTTCAATTGCTTCCTATGGATCTGAAAGTTAACCAATGAATAAGGCAGAACAAAGGAGAATTGGTCCTTTGATCTGTGGTGGTGGAGAAAAGTATTGACTAGACCATTGACTGGTAAAAGAACAAACGAATCTGTCTTGGAGACTAGGTTGCTCCTTAGAAAGAAGGATGGCAAAACTTCATCTCACATGCTTTGGGGCATTTGTTAAGAGGGGCCAGTCTCTTTTTAACATAAATAGTAAAATATTTAAGTTAAAACCTTCAGATTTCTATCTGATGCATTTTGACTGTATCCTGACCACTCATTTTTATTGGATGAAAATAGAAATTTTTCTTTTTGTGAAGCTATGTTCAGATGTCACTATTCTTCGTGTCACTTGAGTGAGGTCAAGTTAACTCATTTTTGCCTGTTGCTGTAATGCAGTACTTACAGTTCCCTTCAGAGCATCCACTTCACAGGTGAGAGACTGGACCTGTCTCCGGTACTCATTAGATTCCTGCTTCGCCTGGCGCAAGGCATCATTGTTCCGGTTAGCAGCCTCAGAGAGGTCAGCAAACTGTCCAGAAGAAATGAGAATGCAGATGACTCTACTGTTAAGTATTTTGAGTTTTAGAAAAATAACCTATAAAGCTAACTCTTTGTATTTGAATACAACTGAAAAAAGTGGAGGCCAAAGATATAGTGTTCGGGTTTACTTTAAATTAAAAGACATCTAGTAGGAAGAGTTTGTTATTCCAAAGAAGGCTATAGCAATAAACAAAATTTGAACAAGAAATTTAAGTCTGGGTTGTTTTTTGTTTTTGTTGTTTGGTTTGTTTTGTTTTTTTTTACTCATGCTAAGAGATATCTAGGAATTACAGATAGGCGAACATTTTTGGGATAAAATGATTTTATTTTGTTCTAGATCTATTGACTTGTTCGATACCTTAGACTTGTACCATTCTTCAGCCTCCTGAAGGTTCTTGGCAGCCACAGTTTCATATTGCTGACGGACGTCACGCAGGGCAGCCGTGAGGTCAGGCTTCGAAACGTCCACATCGATTTGGACATGCTGTTCTTGAATCTGGGCCTGCAACTCCTGGATTTCCTGAAGAGAGGACAGACAGAAGGTCAGCTTGACAAAGAAGGAAATAGCTTCACTCACATTCCCCCAATGGCAATTATTCCTGTTACCTCCTCATGCAGCTTCCTCAAAAAGGCAATCTCTTCATTCAAGGATTCCACTTTACGTTCAAGGTCAAGACGAGCCAGGGAGGCATTGTCCACATCCTACAGAAATTTAAAGAAAAAAAAAAAAGGAAGAGAAGAAGCAACAGGTTATGGCTTATATTGGTTATTTGTTTATTTAAATTCATCATATTAACATAGATGATTCAACACAGAATTAGTTTTAACAAATTCTGAGGCCTTTGAACAAGTTCATAAATGTTCTAGTCTGATGCTATTATTTCTTCTCTTTGTTAATGAATTGTATTGTGATTTAATAATTTAAAATATAATTTATATATGACCAAATTAATAAAATATATGACAGAAGTATATTCATTATTATGAATTTAGATGTTATCTGTAATATTTTTTTTAATTAAGGGAATTGAAACAAAAGCATTTTAAAGGATGGGACATCACAACTAAAGGTGCCAGTCTACAGAAGTTTAAGCTAAGATGAATACATGTAAAACAGAAACTCAGGTTTCTTAAATGTCAGTGTAACCAAAGATGTTTTTTTGAATATTCAAATTTTCTGAAAACTATCCTTAGAACCATTAGTTAATTTGGCATCAATGTTACAATGCTATATACTTATCCAATAGCAATTTAATACCCAGTTCAGTATACTACCTGCAATTATGCAGCTCAAACAAGTAAGGAAAATACATGTTAGCTTTTAACTATATTTGCTTTGCGTCTCTGATGATTTTTTTTTTCATGAAACTCTTTTGAACTGGCCTGTCCCAGTCCACCTTGCCATTATGTCAATCCAGTTACTTAGCTTGTTTTAGAGTGACTGATCTAAATGTTAGCATATATTCAAGCTCTGTGGTCTTCACCATTTACAAACAACTACATTTCAAATTAAACTGCTTACAATAGCAACCAAGATTTTATTTCCCCCAAGGGATATCACAAGAATGTGTAGATTCCTTTACAAGTAAGCAATTATATTTGGAATATACTTGATAGTATTAAAATGTTGGGGCATTTTTATTACTTTTATGGAAAATTGAATGAAAAAAAGGGTAATAAAAATAGCCAACCTGGAAAATAATTAATATTCGCTTGCTGTTAAGTTATAAAAGAGATATAAAAAGATATCTTATTAGCCTCTAAAAAAATGCTCTATGTGATCTTATACTTCACTGAAGGGAATGTGAAAAATTTTATTTCCTAAAAAGAGAAACTTTCATATTAATACTGTTTTTATTAACTAGTACTCCTCTGGTATTTCAGGTATAATTATAAATGCTTAATGACTACAATGAATACTACACATTGCTCTGCATTTAAATTAATTTGCAAGTGTATTTCAGTTTTAAAATATTATCCTAGACTATTAATTTAAGAGTGCTTTTACAGTCACTCCCAAGAAGTGTTCAGAGGGATAAAGCTGTACTGGGAAATCTTTTAATTTCTAGCTAAGTTAAAATTCCTTTTTGCTATATCTAATACTAAATGAAAGAATCTTTTACTTAAAATTGTTTTCTCAGGGAGCTTTGGCAGCCTAGTGGCAAGAAGCTGCACTGCAATCCCAGAGGCGGGTGGTTCGAATCCACCAGATGCTCTGCTGGTGTACCAGTCAGATCCGATTTGACGGTACACACACACACAAGAATGAAATAAAATTGTTTTCTTTTATCAGCCTTGAATATCTTCTTTATTTCTGGACAGAACTAAAGAATATGAAAAACCAATATAATCCTTTTTAAAATCGAAGGTATTAAACTGTAACTTTAAGAACTTTCACGTTGAGTACTTCACAAGCCTGGGCCAGATATTAGATAACAGATATTAGGATGTTAGCAAATACTTGTGTCCAATTAGGACTGTGCTTACATCATTACATATTCAATAAGAATGTAGCCTGTTGCAAAGCTTCTCTGGGAACACAAAGACTCCTATTCTTTCTGTCCAGAGCCACCACATTTGCCAGAATGTCTGTATCTACATTCCATAGTGAATCCCATAGAAACCATTAATACCCTTCAGCCAGGGGGACAGATGGCTCCTTTTCACCCTTATTAGATCACAAAATAGTTGTGCATAGTGATACTCCCATCTAACTCTGTTGCCACAAAAGAACTGGCAGGGAAGAAAAAGAACTGGTTGGCTCCATTCCAGTTAAACGAAGTTTCTTAACCTCCAACGACTTTTACATTTTTAACTATATAAGGCATAACTGTGCTTTTTTGTGACCTTGTAAAAATTGGCCAGTTTCAGCAAACCGCAATCTAAATCAAACCGTAACTGTTCAAAATCAGAACTTCAAATAAGTTGGAAAAAGTGTGTGTGTGTGTGTGTGTGTGTGTGTGTGAGAGAGAGAGAGAGAGAGAGAGGAGGAGGAGGATGTGGGGAGGGGGGAGAGAAATAGTTTTATTTATTTTTTTTTTTTGCAGGGGGTAAAAAGAGTCTTAAAACTGAATAAAATGTGAAAGACTTTTTTTTTTTATGACCTCAGGGAACAACTTAAGATCTCAAGAGTTTTCATCTGGAGAAGCTCCAGTTTGTGATCTCTCGGCCACTAGGGGGCTTTGCGTGTAGCCGTGAAGTTTTGCACTGTTTGGAGCTGGGGTAAGTAACTCTTAAGAATTGCTGGTGGGTCGGTTGCGTTGGGTGTGGTGTGGTGTGGTGGTAGCGTGTGGGAAGGAAATCTACAAACCTGTCTGAAAGATTGCAGGCTGCTCTCGGCTTCCTCTCTCTGAAGCATCTCCTCTTGCAACCTGAAACAGTTGCATATTAATCAAAGGGGAACTGGGAAACCACCAGGGGCGGGGGACGGCCACACCCAACCACCCGGTCCCCCGCCACGAGTCAGCAGTCCCTGTGTCGCCTCCACAGAGCACCAGTGACTGCGGCTCTGGTAGAACTGCTGACCAGGGCAAGTTACTGCAGGACTTAGATCGCAGCGTGAAAAAGCTATCATGGTCGCCACTAGGACCTGCAAGGCCACTCCTGCCGCCACTCCCACTCCAGAGGAGGGGGCCATCCTTTGTCTCGCTTTCTTCCAAGGCCATCCTCTCCTCCCTCCTCCAGGCCCCATTGCTGGCAGCCCTCCAGGAGGGGCCTGGAAACTTGCTAAAAGTTTGGATGAATCACTTTCATCCTTTCCAAGTGTCTTCAATTACAGGCAAAGTGAGAGTTTTAAGAAATCTGTGGCGTTCTTGGGCAATGAGTGGGGCCAGAGGGGAAAAGCTAACAGCTAGGTCTCAGTTTAGGGCGGGGCTGCACCACCGTGTCTCTCCACAGCTCAACCCCAAGCAGCCACCGCCCCAGTCACATCCCCAAGGGCGTGGCACCCCTGGCTGGGCCCAATTTCTCCCTCCCAGGGTCCTGCCTTGGCGTCCTGCCCCTGGGCTAGTCCTTACTTCTCCCGGAGCCGCATGATGTCCTCAGCCAGGTTGTCCCGCTCCACTTCGACGCGCGCCTTGTCGTTGGTGAGCTGATCCACCTGCCGACGCAGCTCCCTCATCTCCTCCTCGTACAGGTCCCCCAGGCGGGACTTGCCCTGGCCCTTGAGCTGCTCGAGCTCGGCCAGCAGGATCTTGTTCTGCTGCTCCAGGAAGCGCACCTTGTCGATGTAGTTGGCGAAGCGGTCATTGAGTTCCTGCAGCTCCACTTTCTCGTTGGTGCGGGTGTTCTTGAACTCAGTGTTGATGGCATCGGCCAGCGAGAAGTCCACCGAGTCCTGCATCAGCCTCATGCCGGGCATGCTGCTCCGCAGGCGCACGGCTGAGGAGCGCGTGGCGTACATACCACCGGCCGGGGACGAAGAAAAGAGGCTGCGGCTGGTGCTGGGGCGCAGCGCGCTACCCAGGTTGTAGGTGCGGGTGGACGTGGTCACATAGCTCCGGTTGGAGCTGGGCCGGCTGGCGGTGCCTGGGCCCCCAAATATCCGGCGGTAGGAGGATGAAGACCTGGTGGTCATGGCTGCAGAGGGTGGCGATGAGCTGGGCGGCTTGCAACAACGTGAACTGGCTCCTCTGCAAGGAGAGGTGAAGTTGGGTGTGATGGGTGTGCGTGGGAGCGCTCCTGTGTTTCTGGCGCAGGGAACCCGGAGAAAGAGTGGCAGAGGACGGGACCCCGCCAAGGGCGCTGTTTTTATAAGCCCATTAGGAAAGAGGGTCCCCTCCCACTGTCATGCAAGCCGCTGAGGGCGCCAGCCAATGGGGACCCGCCAAGAAGCAGGGGGGGGGGGAGTGGGCGGGGGTTTGGGGCGGGGGCGCCCTAAAGCGTCCCTCCTCCAGGATCCTGGTGGCCTGGGACTGTGCAATGTCCGGTTACTAGTTATGTGCTGGAACTTTGGGGACTTTCCTCATAGTTATTGGAGGTCTACTCACCTTGGATGCTGAAAAAGGCGAGGGTCGCAGTGTAGTTGAGAAAGCCGCTCAGGACTGGATGAAAAGGGTCGTGGCACTGTGCCCAAGGGGCGCGGGAGGAGGCGCCGGGTGGGAGGGGTGCCTCTGGGCTGCAGAACTGCGCAGGCTAGGAGCGGGTGGGTGGGGAGACCCGAGGCCAAAGGAGTTGGAAGAGGGGGAGTCAAGGATCGAGCTACCAGAAGACAGAAAGAAACAAAGAGTTCCTGAGATTAGTGCGCAGAGAGGGGCGCACTGCGAAGGACGCAGCGCTTGGTCTCCTGCCGCTTTGTGTAAACCCACTTTAAAAAGGGGACTTTCCAATCCCTTGCTTTTTTTCTTCCTTTTGTCTTGGGAACATTGAAAAGGGAACTAACGGTTTCTTTCCAGCTTAGGGATGTCCCGAGCTGAAGCGTATCTGAGGAAAGCCCAGGAACAGGGGTGGGGTCTCTGAGTCACTGGCTATGACTCACAGCCAGCGCCCTGCTAGCCCACAGAGGTTTAGGGTGCTTAGCGGTTCCAGACAAACCGTTAGAAGAGATTGACTTAATCTCTGCGGGCCCTGGACACGTAGTTGAAGTTTTAGCTCACTCAGAGCTGGGCCTTTGCTTTGAGGTGTGCCTTCTCTCTGTGGGGAAGAGAGCCTCCAACTTTTAAGAATGCTTCAAATCCTAGGTTTACTCCAAACCTTTAGAAGAGAACTTCCCCTTCCCGCGTATTTTGGAGAGTTGCCACATGGGGGTCTCCCCGGAATCACCAGTGCAGAAGGAGATGCCTTTATTTTCAAAGTTTCCTCCCCCTGGTCGCTTCACTCTCTCATTCTTCTCCCTCTCTCTGTGAAACCACACCCGCCTTTTAAAAATGATCTGAAAGTTCTGGGTAAAAGAGGAAATTCAGCGTCCGCAGTTTCAAAATCAAGTTGAGTTTCTACTGTAGTGGAAGTCATTAAAGGTAGAATCCGAGCCAATTAATTAATTAGGTGTTGCTTTAAACCCCTGAGTTTGATTAATGAGATCAAATGAAAGGCAGTTTTGTAACTCAGTTGACAGAATGTTTGGAGAAAATAGATGTTACTTTTTAGGACAGAGCTGCACAGAGCAGAATTCTGGTGACTTGTCTGGGAAATGTCATAGGCTCTTGTGTAGAGAAGGATTCGTACATTACTGGATTATAGTCCATCACATTGACCATGCTGACTAAATTACTCCGCTCCAGGGCTATTGTTTCAATATTCATACAACATAGAATAGTTCCCTCCCAAAGAAGATGAAAGGAGTCTTATTGTCATTCAGCTGCAATTTTTAAAAAGGACACTTGAGTATTAAAATACTTATGGAATACTGAAAGGATTACTTTCAGAACCACTGTAAAAATAGAATTTCCCCTGGTTCTATGACTATATATAGGGGAGGAAAAAGTAAAGCTTCCATTCTGGTTTTTTGGGTACTGGCATTTAAGGTTACCTGGTATTTAAGAAAAATAGTTTAGAGCCAAATGAAGGGTTTGTTCTATGCTTCTCTGGGGTGATATTTTCTTTACCTCGTTTGAGTTGGTTCTGGCAGATGATGTTGCCAAGGGCTTGCTGGAAGACCCTTTGCTGCACAGCGCTCCTACTGTGGCTTGCTTATATTCCCTCATTCCCTGGGAGGCTAGGGTCACTCCCAGAGAACATTCCTGGGACTTCATGCCTGGCGGGTGAGCAGAGCCTGGGTTCCACATTCCCATCTTGTTCTCTGAGAGCCCTTTATTCAAACCACTATTCAGCAAATGTCACTACTGTGAGGACGCCTGGAACTCTTAGGATGAAAAAGTGATCTCTATGGAGTTGGGGCGGTGGGAGGGAGTGAGCCTGACTCCTACAGAAAATGCTGATCCGGGACATTGTGGTCGCTGGCGCTGTCAGGGGATGCTTGCTGACTGACTCACCATGGAAAATGATGGCAGGATTCTCCTGGGGTGTGGCAGTGTGCCCTGCTAGTGTCCCTAATACATTATCCAGAACTGTAGTGATTGCCTCTCCGATGTGCTCTGATGCTCCTCATAGTCTGAGGAGTATCCCTTCTCCTTCCATACCTGTCCCTATTCTGTATATACCCAGGGCTGTGATAGGCTGCTCTCTGCTACAGCTGGTGTATTAACATGCTATATGTAGGCATGTGGGTATGTTGTTGTTGTTGTTATGTGCTGTCAAGTCGTTTGCGACTCATAGCGACCCTATGTACAACAGCCCTAAACCGTGCTCTATCCTGTGCCAAT